GAATTTCCATCTCTCTTTCTTGCTCCTCGAGATACTAGTGTTCTTGGGAGCTGTCGCCCTAAATTCGCCCCCATCGCTCCCTCTCCGCCCAATTCCCTCATGGCGCCAGCTCCAGTTCCACTCGCGCCGCCTCTCGATGTTCTTCCACTTCGGCGTCAACACATTCACGGACTCGGAGCGTGGATCCGGCCACGAATCGCCCTCCATCTTCAACCGGGAGCGATTGAATGCCTTAGCCGTGGCATAGCCATTTACTAGAGGAGCTAGAGGAGAGCTGTTGTAGGAGGAGTGCTAGAGGAGTTGGAGGAGAGCTGTTGCAGGAGAAGTGCTGGAGGAGCTGGAGGAGACTCAATGCACAAGGGGTTTTGGAAGAGCTAGAGGGTGAGAAAGAATGATTTGATGAAAAAAAAAAAACTGAGAAATCCAAGAGTAGGATTGGCAAAAGTACAATGTGGAAGAGAGTTGTTGCAGGAGGAGTACTAGAGGACATGGAAGAGAGTTGCTACAGGAAGAGTGTTGGAGGGAAGAGATATGTTGCATTGGAGGAAAGTAAGAGCCACTAGAGGAGTTGGGCACTCGAAGAAAACAAGAGTTGCTAGGTGGAGAGTTGGGCATTATACACAATACCATCTACACTAACTAACCCTAACCGAACTCAAATAGATATAATTTTCTGCATTGCACTATGCAACAATGATATTGTCAATTTTTACATAAATAAAAAATTTATATGATGTACTCATTTTAATACATTTTTTTATTCATATGTACTTCTTGTTTATCTCTCAAAGAGTTCAACTAATGTTTTTTTTATCAATTTTATTCTTCCTATAGCAAGCTTAAAGCAAATAGTGAAGAATATAAGGAAGAAGTCCTACACTCTTGCAATACTAAAATCTTGCAAACTTTCCTTTAAGAACATTATTACTAGTCAAAAAGTTCACTTTTTTTGAGTAGTCTGATGTGTTTGTCTTTATAGCATGTCCATAAACAGAAAACAAGGAACTTTTTACTTACTCCTCATAGTAGAGTATCACACTGATAGAAGAATTTGAGCTTCTTCTCCATGCAATG